TCCCTTACTTTCTCCCAAACAAATGGCATCTCTCTGTGCTGAGCTTCCTAGAGCTGGGATTGGGGTGATGCAAGCACACCTGTGGCCACCACCACTGGGACTGCGCTGGGTGAGACCTGAAGCCAGCACAGCACTGGGTCTCACTCAGAGTCCACTGTAAACATTACTTGGCTACTGCCGGTGTTCTCTCAAGGCCCTAAGGCTCTACGATCAGTAGTTGGGGAAGCCAGCCAGGTTTGTGTCCTTCCCTTCAGGGTGAAAAGTTCCCTCAGAGCCAGGGCAGGTCCAGAGATGCTGTCTGGGAGGCAGAGTTTGAAGTCAGAAACTTTAGAAATCCAGTTGGTGTTCTGTTTTACTGCAGCTAAAGTGGCCCTCAAACCACAAGACAAAGTCCTTCCTCCTCTTCCCTGCTCCTTCTACATGCTCCCACCACTACCAGCCCACGGGGAGTTCTGCCAGGCCACTGCCAATGGTCACTTAATGCTCAGAAGCTCTGCAGTCAGCTTGTGGAGAATGTTGCCAGGCCTGGGACTCACCCTGAAGGGCAGCGGGCTCCCCTCTGTCCTGGGACAGGTCTAGAAATGCTGTTCAATAGCCTAGGCCTGGTTTCGGGGGCCCCAAGAGCCCACCTGATACTCTACCCCACTGTGGCCAAGCTAGTACCTAGGCTGCAAGACAAAGGACCCTTTACTTTTCCCTTTGCTTTTCTCAAGCAGAAGCAGTCTTTCACTGTGGCTCCCACAGCTGGGAATATGCTGCATCAGACCTGGAGCCAGCGTGTCTTAGAGTCTCCCCAAGGCCCATGGCATACTAGCTACATGTCACTCCTAGATCTTTGGGGCCCAAGGGCTCTTTAGTCAGTAGGTGATGGATCCTTCCAGAACTGAGTCCCTTAAAAGTAGCAGGTTCCCTTCTGGCCCAGGGTGTGTCTAGAAACATCATCCAGAAGTTAGGTCCTAGAATGGGGCCCTCATGACTGTGCCCAGTACCCTATTGTACTGTGGCTGAGCTGGTATCCAAAATGCAAGACAAAGTTCTCTTTACTTTCCTCTCTTCGAGCAGAAGGAAGGAGTCACTTTACTTGCTGTGAGCTCTGCTGCCTGAGGTTGGTGGAGAGGTGGTGCAAGCACTCCCTTAGCCACTCTGTCTGGTACATGTTGCCCTAGTCCACTGGCTCTAAGCCCAGCCCAGCACCAGGCCTTGCCTAGGAATTGCAGTTCTTGTGTCCTAGACTGCTTTTCAAGTTTACTTAGGACCCCAGAGCACTGTAGCCCGTGATGCTGAGGCTTGCTGAGAAACTCAAGTTTTGACCACTGGGATGGGGAATTTCCTTCTGGCTAGGGCTGGTCCACATGCTCCCTCTGTGGGCACACACGGGCTAAGCCCAGCATAGCTTTGCTGTCTGCTGTGACAGGGCAGCACTGAGTGCAATGCCAAGTCCCCCATTTGTTGTGCTCTCCCTCCCCCAAGTACACAGATTCTGTCTCCACACCACGCGGCTGCTGCTGGGGGATGGAGGAGGGGTTGGCATCAGCGATTCAAGGCTGTCTTTTCTACCCTCTTCAGTGCCTCTTTCAGGAATATGAAGTTAAAACCGGGTGCTGTGAGTGCTCACCTGATCTTTAGTTCTTATGACAGTGCTATTATGACAAAATGAAGATTTCCCAGATCTGAAGGACATGAATTTAGAGATTGAAAGGGGTCATCTAGTCCCCAACACAATACATTAAAATGAACTCTCATCAAGAACACGGGGGACAAAGGTCCTACACAGTTTGAAAAGGAAATGACAAGCAGTTCACATTCAAAAAGAGAGGAGTAAGAATAGCTTCAGACTTCTGAAAAGCAAAACTAGAAGCTGGAAGACAATGAAGCAGTGCCTTCAGAACTGTGAAGGAGAATTAGTTTTGACCTTGATTTTTTGTGCTTAATCAAACTATAATGTAAGAGCAAAGGTAAAGTATTCAGACTTGTATAGTCTTTAAAAATTTACCTCACATTGGCCGGGCACTGTGGCTCACGCCTGTAATCTCAGCACTTTGGGAGGCCGAGGCGGGCGGATCACGCGGTCAGGAGATCGAGACCATCCTGGCTAATACGGTGAAACACCGTCTCTACTAAAAATACAAAAAATTAGCCGGGCATGGTGGCGAGCGCCTATAGTCCCAGCTACTCGGGAGGCTGAGGCAGAAGAATGGTGTTAACCTGGGAGGCAGAGCTTGCAGTGAGCCGAGATCGTGCCATTGCACTCCAGCCTGAGTGACAGTGAGACTCCATCTTAAAAAAAAAAAATTTACCTCACATTTACCTTTGCTTAGCAAGCCACTCGAGGATATGCACCATCTAAACAAGGGAGTAAATCAAGAAAAGATACAGGCTGTGTAGGAAATAAGAGATGCTCCACAGGAGATGTGGGCAGCCAATCCCAGGGTGAGAGGGTTCTGGGGGTGGGAAGGATGTTAAGGAAAGAAGGAAAGCTGGTCATAGTTTGCTATGTGGATAGGCATTTTGGTTGTTATAATAATGTAGACATCGAATATCAGTCTAACTAAAATGATCATTATGGCCATATTGAGAGAAAGGGAGGAGTGAAGAGATGTGTGGCTCACCTGCCACAGTGGGAATGCTCTGTGCAGGAAATTCAGAAGTTGCAATAGGAAGACAAGTGCCAGAAGAACCAGCTGGACAGCTGCTTTTGGGAAAACGGATTCAGGAAGGAGGAGACATGACAGCAATCCTGTGCATGTGTTTGACACTTTGAGCTATGTGCATGCTTCGTTTTGATAAAGATAAAAACCTTTTAAAAAATCACTTAAAATTAAGAAAGTAGTATAGAAAGTATAAAATAAATTTCATCAGCTATAATACTAAATTATACTGACTGCAAGCTCTATATTTTACTAAGTGTAAATGGGCTGAATTTGACTGTTAAAGAACAGTTTATCAGACTGGATTTATTCAGCCTGTATTTATCATTTTTCCTACAAGCATCTATTGCCCTTTCTTCTAGTAAAGTACCTGATTTGGATTTGCGGATTTCCCCGGTTAGATGAGATTGGCAGAACTGCTCATCAGAGTTCTTGGCTGTCCATGAAACTCACATGTGACTCTAAGCCATGCCATTAGGACGCCTGCTTCCTAGACTTTTATTCTTCCTCATAGTGACGTACAGACTGCGAGTACTCAGGACCGAGTCATCCCAGCTGTTACGATATGAGGAAACTATCCATCTGTTCTGCCACCTGCAACTCTCAGCTGCCCATTTCCTCTACTTTCTTTACTGGAAAATTTTCCTCCTGGTTCTATCTTATGAACTCCTTTTCTGTTTTAACTAGTGAGTCTATTTCAGTTGCCTGTAGCCAGTGAACTCTAACTGATACAGGTTAAACCTCCAGTAAGATTCAGCTGGATAAGAGAAAAAGAAAGATTCAAATTAAAGGTGTATGTATAAATGTATGTAAGTAAGTAAGCAAGATAGGTAAAAACAAAAAGTAGAACTTAAAATCCACAAAACAGAATTTAAGTTGAAAGGCATTAGAAACAAACAGGGTCATTATGAAATGATAAAATAGATGATTCATAAGGAAGATGTAACAGACTAGGATGAAAAACAAAGCAAAACAAAACAAAACAAAAAACCCTAGCGAACGGAACCTCCCAGTCTCAGCAGTCAAATACAAATGCATAATGGAAAAAAAAAAACCTCTTAAAAACTGAGATAACTTACAGTACAGTTGTAGTGGGTATTTTGATTTCTCTGTTTCAGAATTTAACAGATAAAATATAAAGAATACAAAGATCCACCATTAGAGAAACAAGTAGAAAATATGAATAGGGAAAATTCAGGTGATAAACGCTGAGAAGTATGTTCAACCACATTTAGGGAAATGCATGTTAAAGTAACAGGAAGAAAACATTTTTCACCCGTCACATTGGTAGAATTGAAGAGTTGTAACTTCAGTTACAACTTCAGTGCTGAAGATGATACTGGAAAACAGATAGTTTCAAAGCTATTGATAGAAATGTAAATTATTACAATAGTTTAAATTATTACAATATTTTGGGGAAGTAACCTTCTATAAATGTTCATACCCTATTCAGCAATCTGAGTTTTGGGGATCTGTCTTACAGAAATAATTAGAACCAAAATGTACTGGATGTGCATACAAGAATGTTTATTGCAATGCCGTTTGTAGTGGCAAAAAGTTGAAAACTTGAATATGTGTGAAGGGAATGAAGTTGTAGTACATCTGTACTATGGAATGTTATTCAGCCGTCAACTTGGACATATAATTGACTAGGAAAGCAAATGGTAAAGTACTATGTCTGACCCCATTCATATAAAATATGTAATAAAAACCATGTATAGGATACATATGTATGTATGAATGTGCTTCTGAACGTGAAGAAAGATATGGAAGCATCAGCCAAGCTGTTCACAATTGTCATTTTAGGGAGGTGAGATGCAGAAGAGGAGATCTTGATTTTTTTCACTTTCTGTAGTAAGCCCAAGTTGCTTTTGTAATTAAGAAAAGATTATTAATAGATCAAATTAGAACTTTACCATGTTAAGAAATTTTCTAGGAAACATGTAGTGTTTATTTTTAATATTCTTATTTCAGTAGCTTTTGGGGTACCAGTGGTTTTGGGTTACATGGATGTATAGTGGTGTGGTCTGAGATTTTAATGTACCCATCACTGGAGTAGCATGCATTGTAACCGATAGGTCGTTTTTCATCCCTTGCCTCCATCCCAACCCTCTCCCTTCTGAGTCTTGAGAGTCTGTTATATCACTCTGTGGAAACGTGCAGTGTTTAATCAGCAAGAAGTTTTAATTGGTAAATATATGGATGTGCTTTCCTCTGAATCACAGCAGCATTTGTTTTTCTTTTCAATGAGCAGGATTTGCCATGTATTATTTTAGATTTTAATTAAAGGGCTACCTGTTCTATAGTGTTAGGGGTTCTGTTTCACTTCTAAATATTTTTTGCTTTGAACAGGGCTGTCTTCATCAGTGGAATGCAACATAATGGAGTTGGAACAAGAACTTGAAAATGTAAAGACTCTGAAGACAAAATTAGGTATTGCACTTTTTTTTTCTTCACTTGTGTATTGGCCTTGGTTTCTTATTAAAGACTTTACTGTAGTCTGAAATACTGGAACATTTATGAAATCTTTATGTTAAAACTTTCAACCTGCCCAAAATCATTAATAAAGACTATCTTTTAGTTTGGGGAGAGGATAAATTTACATTTATTCACTTTTTTTGGTTTTATATATATACCAAATGACTGTTCAAAGGTTCGGACGTTCAAAGATGTTGCTCCATTGCCTTCTCACTTTCATTTTTTCTGACAAGTCGTCTGTCATACTTATCTTTCAATGTGTTTTTTTTCTGTATCTGCTTTTAAGATGTCTTTATTATTGATTTTGAACAATTTGATTGTGATATGCCTTAAGAGTAGTTTTCTTCGTGTTTCTTAGAGCTAGGAGTTTATAGTTTTCAACTAATTTGGAAATTTTTTGACCATTACTTCTCCAAATATTTTTTCTTTTCCTCTCATGCTTTCCTTTTTGGGGACTCCAGTTACATGTGTTTTAGGCTATAGCTTAAGGATGTTCCTTTATTTTTTAGTTTTTTTTCTTGCTGTGTTTCATTTTGGTTAGTGTCTATAGCTGTGTCTTCACTGTCACCGATCTTCTGCATGTCTGATCTGCCTTTCATCCAGTGGTTTTGCTTTTTTGTTTTTCTGCAGTCTGCAGTTTTCATCTCTAAGGGGTCTGTTTGGGCGTGTTTTGTATCTTCTATTATGTCTCTAATTAACACGTTCAATCTGTGTCCTCCATCTTTGTGAAAATACAGAATACAGACAACACTTACAATGTTTTTGTCTGCTCCTTCTAATGTTTGTGTTACTTCCTAATATGTTTTGATGGATTGATTTTTTTCCTCATAATCACTAGTATTTTTGTGCTTCTTTGCATATCTGGAAACTTTTGATTAGAAAATAGACATTTTGAATTTTACCTTGTCAGGTGAGATTTTACCCTTGTTGGGTGCCTCACTTACAGTATTTTTTTGTTTTGTTTTGTTTTTTGAGACAGTGTCTCACTCTGTCGCCCAGGCTAGAGTGCAATGGTGCAATCTCAACTCACTGCAACCTCATGTGATCCTCCCACCTCAGCCTCCTGAGTAGCTGGGACCACAGGTGCATGCCATCACAGCTGACTAATTTTTTGTGTTTTTTGATAGAGATGGGATTTTGCCATGTTGGCTTTGCTGATCTCAAACTCCTGGGCTGAAGTGTGGTGCCCACCTTGGCCTCCCAAAGTACTGGGATTACAGGCATGAGCCATGACGCCTGGCCACTTTTAGTAGTTCTGTAAGTGAGGAACTTTGTTCTGGAATGCAGTTAAGTTACTTGGAAACAGTTTGATATTATTGTGTCTTGTTCTGAAGGCTTTTTAGGCTGGACCAGGGGATCATTGCATCTAGGGCTAAGTATTCCCCACTGCTGAGGCAAGACCCTTCTACAGATTCTATCCAATGTCCTGTGATTGATGAGGTTCTGTACTGTCTTGTGGGAGAAGCAACTATTTTTGGCCTTCTGTGATTGTTGAGTGTTGTTTCTTTTCATGTTTTGGGGTGGTTCTTTCTTCAGCCATGGGTTGTTTCTTCACACGCCTGAGCTGATATACTTGAGAATTTTTTACTGAATTCCTTACTGAATACTCAAGGGTGACGCTTTGCAGATCCTTAGAGTTCTTTTTCTGTGCTTTAGTCTCCTGTCTGGCACTTTGCTGCACAGACTCCAGCTGACATAGTCTCCCCAGATTCCCATTTCATGCTCTCAAGTTAAGGGATGAGCTGGGCTCAGCTTGTGTTCCTCCTTCCTACATCATGGCCTGGAAACTCTCAAGACAGTAAACTGGGTCAGAAAGGGCTTGTGTGGTTTGTTTCCTGTGTCTCAGGCATCATTGTTCTTCCACAATCAGATGTCCACTGTCTTGAAAACTGTTGTTTCTTATCTGTGTACTTTTTGGTTTCTTAATTGTTTCAGACTGGATGACAAACATGGTCCCTGTTGTTGCTGCAACTTTGGAGGTGGAAGTCGAGTGTTATGTTCTTGAAAATTAGATACGGTGTTCATTTATTTTCATTTCTGTTAATAATAATATATTTCTTGAAGTTACTTCAGTCATCCTGTTGTCGGTGGATATTAGATCTGATTCTAGTTTTTTGCTGTTACAAATAATGTTGCTATAATCATTCTGGTATGTATCTCTTGGTATGTATGTTTTTTCAGGGTACATACTAGATACGGAATTACAAGATCATTGTATATATGTGCCTGTGCAACTTTTGTAGAGAAAGCCAAATGGTTTTCTCACATAGTTGTATTAGTTTGCATTCCTGCTGGGCATGAGTAGGATTCCTGTTGCTCCATATCCTTACCTATACTTGACAATGTTGGACTTTAAAATTTTTACCGACTTAGTGGATGTGAAGTGGTGTTTCATTGGTATTCTAATTCATATGTTCCTGATTTGTATTTTGAGTTTTATGTTTCTAATGTTCATTTAGCTTCTGTTTGAAAAACACAGGTTTGCTGGTAATAGATTCTCTCAGGTTTTGTTTATTGGAAAACATACTAAAAATTTTTGTTTGCTAGTTATCAGCATTGGAAAGATGTCATTCTGCTGTCTTCTGGTTTCTGGTTGAAAGTCATGTTGTTGCTCTTTCAAAGGGCTTTAAAGATTTTCCTTTTGTCTCTGTTTAGCAATTTTACTCTGATGTGCTTAGATTTGGTTTTCTTTGTATGTATCTTGAAATCTATGTGTCACTTCATGATACTGTGACTTGATGTCTTTTATCTGTTTGGGAAAATTCTTGGCCATTGTCATATCAAATATTGCTTCTGCTCCATTCTCTGTTATTTCCTCAGGCTGCAGTTACACATAGGCTAGACTTTTTCATTCTTATATTCTTTTCTGTATTTATCTCCTTTTGTATCTTCATGCTTCAGTCTGATATTTTCTATTGGTCTGTCTTCCATTTTGCTTTCTTTCAGCTATGTCATAACTATTGTCAAAACTATTGAATTTTTCATTTTAGTTACATTATTTTTCAGCTCTAGATTTTCTGTTTATTTTTTATAGATTTAAATTTACTTGCAAAATTTTCCATTTATCACTTATTTTATTGAATATGTTAACCATTTATTTTAAAGCATCTTTCTGATAAATCCAAAATGTGAATCACCTGGAGGTCTGTTTCTGTTGTCTTTTTTTCCCCTCTTTTTCCATTTATTTATTTATTTATTTGATGGAGTTTCGCTCTTGTTGCCCTGGCTGGAGTGCAATAGCCTGATCTCGGCCTGCTGCAACCTCCGTCTCGTGAGTTCAAATGATTCTCTTGCCTCAGCCTCCCGAGTAACTGGGATTACAGGTACCCACCACCATGCCCGGCTAATTCTTTGTACTTTTAGTTGAGATGGGGCTTCACCATGTTGGCCAGGCTGGTCTCAAACTCCTGACATAGTGATCCGCCCGCCTCGGCCTTCCAAAGTCCTGGGATTACAGGCTTAAGCCACCGCGCCCAGCCTCTTTTTCCTATGTATGGTAATGTGTAATTGAATGCCAGATATTTCTTATACAAAACTATAGAAACTCTGTATGATGTTTTCTTCTTTTGGGGAGAATGTACTTTTGCTTCTGGCAGACAATTAGAGTAGGGACATATCAGTCTAATCCATTAGACTTGAGATCATTCAAGGCCAGACTTTGGTCTTTATGACGACTGATCTGTTTTCACTTTGGCCTTCCCTCATACTAGGGTATAGCTTTTCATTGGTCCTAATGGAAAGCCTAGTTGCTTAGTTATTGACTATGACCCCATTTTCTTAATACATTTTAGTTTTTACCTCTCAAGAAACAGGAGCCTGACAGAAGCTTTGCTTGGCTTCTCAGCCTCATAGTTGCATCTTTCTGTTGGTCTTCTCGGCCTCTTAGCCACTGACGTCTTGAAGGGAAAGTGGCACTGTCTGCCAGGCTCACTTCTTTGCCCTTTTCTTTTCTGTATGATCATAGCGTCTCAAATTTTGACTGCGTTGGTACCCCCAAATGCCAATGTCTGTCCTTTTGGCTCTGTTGAGTTTGCTGAAAGGTTTGCTTTAGAATCATTGCCTTTTACTCATTGATTTTTCAATCTCTTGGGTCTGTGCCATTTACATATTGGGAAATGCCTTGCAGCGGAAGGTGTAGTACAAATTGGAGGTCTTAGCTCAGTTCACTTCACAGAGTATTGGCCCCTCAATTTTCATTGTCTTGGTAGCTCTCTGATATGTTCATACAGATTTTTTTTTAATTAAGTTTGATTCATCTTTTTCTACTTGTTCTTAGCATGAGGATTGGTGTTGTAGGTAAAAGTAGAAGTTTGCTTCCAGCCTTTAGAAAACTAGAAGTGTTTATCTTTGGGATATTAAGAATAGAAGAGGGCCGGGCGCGGTAGCTCACACCTGTAATCCCAGCACTTTGGGAGGCCAAGGTGGGCAGATCACGAGGTCAGGAGATCGAGACCATCCTTGCTAACATGGTGAAAACCCGTCTCTACTAAAAATACAAAAAATTAGCCAGGTGTGGTGGCGTGCGCCTGTAGTACCATCTACTTGGGAGGCTGAGGCAGGAGAATCACTTGAACCTAGCAGGCAGAGGTTGCAGTGAGCTGAGATCATGTCACTGCACTCCAGCCTGGGAGAGCGAGACTCTGTCTCAAAAAAAAAAAAAAAGAATAGAAGGGATTTTTATTCATATAACTTTATTCATTCAGATATATATCAATATGTAGATCTATATGAAATACAAATATAGTAGGCCTTCAGTATTCGTGGGGGTCTGGTTTCAGAACCCCCATGGATACCAAAATCTACGTATGATAGAAAATTATTGCAGAACCTGTGACTATAGAAGACCTACTGTATTTCTGTATTTTCAGAGTCAGCTGTATATTAACAATATATTTCCTGAACAATTGAGATGTCTTCTCAGAGCTGAAATTCAAGCATCACAGAATTACTTCTGCTCCGTTCTCTCTTATGAGGTGTTTAATGTAGCAAACTGGGTTTAAAACTCTGATTTCTGGCTGGGTATGGTAGTTCTTGCCTGTAATCCCAGCACTTTAGGAAGCTGAGGTGGGAGGATTGTTTGAGCCCAGGAGTTCAAGACCAGCCTGGGCAACATAGCAAGACCCTGTCTCTACAAAAAATAAATAAAATAAAAAATTAGCCAGGCATGGTGGCACGTACCTGTAGTCCCAGCTACTCAGGTGGGTGAGATGGGAGGATCACTTGAGCCTAGGAGGTTGCAGTGAGCTGTGGCTATACCATTGTGCTCTAGCCTGGGTGACAGAGCAAGGCCCTATCTCTAGTTTTTATAGTTTGTGGAGGTAAATTAAAAGTAATTTGTGTTTTTTCAGAAGAAATTATGTAAAAAACAGATTATAGCATTATGGAATGAAAATGTTAATCTGGAGAAACTTTGTTTTATTTTGTTTTTCCTTTTAATAGAGAGGCGAAAAAAGGCTTCAGCATGGGAAAGAAATTTGGTGTATCCCGCTGTTATGGTTCTCCTCCTTATTGAGACAGTAAGAATTTATTTACCTAGTTAAATAAAAGCAAATTATGTATTATTTACTTTAGCATTTGAGTATGGCAGCTCCCTCAGATAAATGGTTTTTCATAAACTGGTTTTCTATCAACAGGATTAAAATCCATCTATGCCTTTATTTATGAAAATCCAGTAAAGCAAAAATGTGAATTAATGGCAATTAAAAAAAAAATTCTGAAGATTATCTGTTTCTTCATGAAAGGAGGAAAGTCAGTCTTTGTTTTCATTAAAAGTTAAGAAAACAAGGTGTTGCAGATAACCTGCTTTAAATTCTGTGATAAAATATGAAAATTACATTATGAAATTAGTTCTGATAATATTTTACCACTTTTTTAAGTCTGTGGAGTTGTGTGTTTCCAATTGGTGAGATCACTTAGTAGAAGGATCTATGCTACCAGCTTTTGTCACAAGCTTTGACATTACAATAACTTGCAGAATCTTTTAGAATTTCTTCAGCTCCTGTTTGTAGTCTGATTAGTTTAATATATAGCCTTTTGGTCTTGACTGCTTTCCCTCTATTCTGAAACATGTATTTGGTTACCTAGATTTTAATATTTTGTATTGGTAAAAAGTCTTGAGAGCTGACAGTTTGCTGTTTGTCTTGTAGTCCATCTCGGTCCTCTTGGTGGCTTGTAATATTCTTTGCCTATTGGTTGATGAAACAGCAATGCCAAAAGGAACAAGGGTAAAGTAAAATCCTTTAAAATGTCTGCGTTTTGCAAAAGTATTCTATGTCTATACCCTGAGTATTTCAAATAAGCTAATGAAAGCATTCACCTTTGTGCATGTACATACTTCAAGTTATATGAATTTCTTCACGCAAAGAGCCTTCATAATATAAACTGTGGTTTTTGGGTCTAATTTTTTACTTTGATTGACAGGGCCTTTTTTCAAGCGTTGGAATTTCCTTTTAGATTTCTTATCAGAGTTTATCTTGATTTTACTGAAATCCATTCAGCTATATGAAATTCCTTTAGCCACAGTCTTGATTCAGATCCCCCGACCCCAGTCTTTCCAGGACCTTGTGCCATCTGTTATTGCCATTGTTGTATTCAGTAACAGCCTCTTCTCCATGAATATAAGCCCACCATCATGCTTCACGTGCCTCATCCTACAGACAGACGAGAAACTACCCTTTTCCACGTTCAGCCTTATCTTTCTCTTAGTTTTATACTCAAACCCGCTGACAGAACAGGAAGTCACTTACTATACTGACTTCCTAGTCACTTTTAACCCATTTTACTATACCAGCAAAACAAGTCCCAAGCCCTGTGGTACATTTTTGTACCCATCCCTCTTAGTGCTTAGTAGAAAAGGACTTGTACGTTACAGGAGATCCCTGTATAATTGTGTAAAAAAATTAAATAATCTTCATCCTTCCTACATGGCTTCTCTTGAGATAGCATAATTCCAAAGCATTATCTCTGTTGATCAATAAGCTTTTGTGGGGGAGAAGAAGTAATTTCTTATTCTAACCTATTGCAAGGTTCATGGCTGAGATGCCTATAACAAAAGATTAACAAGAGTAAAGCTGACAAATTTATTTAAGATAAGTTTTACATATCACAGGAGTCTTCAGAAATGAAGAAGACCAGAAAAAACAGAAAAAGCTGTGTATTTTTATGCTCAGGTTTGGTGAAGAGTGGACAGTATTGGGGAAGTATGATTGGAAGACAGGGGTATGATCTAATGATTATAAATGATTATAAATGATATAAACAGGCAAGGCCTGTTCATATTCTTCTCGGTGTGCCTCTCCTCTGGGTGGCGGGGAGGGCACCCTTGAACGGGGGTCTTATGGCCTGCTTCACAGGAGAAGGGAGACAGATCAGTATGTGACCTTCTTATGTTTTCTCAAATACTAGGCCCCATATTTTGGAGTAGTGTGTCCTGAACCCCATCACTTTCTACTAGCATCATTTATTTATTCTTCAAAAGATTGTCAAAAAGTTATTTTTTATTGGGCTGACTGTAGATTCTTAATTATCCCTGTTGTTTCTATTAGATGTAATCTGTGCTGAGCAGTAAAATATTCAGATAGTTTCTTTTATTAGTAATCTTTGAAAATACTGTTCTATTTCAGTAGGGAATGATTTTTTCAGATTTCATTGTAAAAATATTAACTTTTTTTGTGTTTTCTAAAAGTTCTAGGTAAAGATAGTTTTTGAGATAGGGATAATTGTTTAGGAAAAAATTTATAGCATTACTTTTTAAAAATCGGTGTTAACAGTTTTATCTTTTGTAACTCTGAATTCCCAAGGAAAATTTGGGCAAAAGACACTTTCAGGTATGGGAACAGGATATGCACATTTACTCTCTTTCTACTGTCAGCTTAATTTTGACATACTTTGATTGTGTAATCTTTGTATGTTGTGTAAGCATTCAGATAGCTGTATATCCTATTCTTATTTTTCTATGGTATTTTTAAAAACTCTTTCCCAAAACTATTCAGGATTTTTTTTCTTCAAGTGGCAAGTTGCCCCATTTTATAACAGTAAGCATAATCATGTCATCTTGACAAGTAACTTAAATTACATTTGAGATAAGTAATTTTTCTTGAGCTTATTAAAATTGTTAACATGGTGCCTGAATTTGTTGATGAAATCAGTTTAATGCCATGTCTTGTTGGCCTTTGAAAGTCTAGATGTTATTTCAAAGTAGTAAACATTCATAATTTCAACTGTCTTATATTTATGAAACAGCTGTTTTAGAGAAATCAGTATAATGGTGTCACTGAATTCTGAAAAGTGTCTTTCTCCCGCCCCAGGGGCCTGGAATAGGAAATGCCTCTCTTTCTACGTTTGGTTTTGTGGGAGCTGCACTTGAAATCATTTTGATTTTGTATCCTTTCTTTAACTGAACGTTCAGCCTATCCCCGAATTTTATACCTAGTTTTCTGGGGCAGTGGTTATTTACTAAGACACTTGTCTAGAAGAGAAAACAACAGGTTAGTCTTCCTCAAGCACTTGAAGTGGCTTCTTGTTTTGTTTTTCCTATGGGCCTTAAGACTTTCTGGAGACTGCTGAGAACTTAGGAAACTTGCATTCTGTTGGAGAGTTTTTTCCTTGATTCTCACAGCTATCTTATGGTGTCCTCTGTTGTCGGTTTCTATAGCCTTCGATTTTTTGGAAACTTTACTCCCAGGAAAGATGACACAACTATGACAAAGGTAAGGTAGAGTCTTAGGTGACTGTGTCCTCTCTTGCCTTCCCAGACAGACTGCTTTATTTAATAGTCATCCTGAATGGTTCATTTGCAGTGATAGGTATTTGTTTGTAAGTTGCGTAAACACAAACTGGAAGATTTTCAAAATGCTGAGTGAGTGGGAAAGGGATGTACCCTGTTTAATTTGGATGGCGTCCATTCACTGTAAATGCAAAGAGCTGCAGAGCTTGTTAACTAGCTATAGAAGACCCTTGAAAGGACTCCTTTTCCTCTAAAGAAAGCGTATTGCTAATGAGTAACTTGGATTGTGCTAACTGTACTTCAGGGAGCTTGTTTGAAGTCTGAAGAACTTAGTTGCTACAAGTAGTAGAGACAAAGTATTTCAAATTTGAATAATTAAAGTAAGACGGAAGAGTTCTACTCAGAAACATTTTGTAGTCTGAGGCTAATTTGACTTTTTCCACAACATGTCATTGGCTTCAGAATAAAAAGGCTGTTGCCGTACATAGTGACTGAATCTTTATAAAATATTCCCATAGGCTGACAAAGAAGAATAACTAATAAGAGCGGAAAGCTTGTTTTGTTTTTATTTTATATTTTTAGCCTACTTGAAGGGGAGAAGTTATTTTACACACACACACACACACACACACACACACACACACACAGAGCTATTTCTTTAAACTTAATAAGTAGTTGAGATATTTAGTATCTAATTTAAGTGATCATAAATATTAATTGGTATTTTCAACTCCTCTTATTTACTATGGAAGAATAAACATAGGATGCGTTATTACAAAAGTTTAGAGGTTTTGGATTTCTGGTGCTTTTTAAATCTTATAATAAACATTAGAAATAGATGTGATAAAAGAGATCTTAAGCAATAATCTGGCCTTAAAAATGTAGTCCGAAGTCTCCAATATGTTAATTATTTGTTACTTGACAGGCAGAGCCTTTTGAAACTAACAACTGCAATCAGTAATGTAAAATGCATTATCTAGGTGTCAAGTAATTTAAGTATTCTGTAACTATATTTGTGCTGGGTACTGTAAACATCAACTTACAGATATAACCTTATTTATTTTAAAAGTGTGTTTTTCTTTGAAAATTCTGTACTGAATAGTAAGTATCATTAAGAAGTCGGCAAAGTACACTAGGTAACTAGAATGCACAATAATTTCTCAGAATGTTACTGGGTTTGATTGTCATCCTGCTGTTTAACTGCCCAATATTGTTTCTCATTTCTCATAACAGATCATTGGAAATTGTGTGTCCATCTTGGTCTTGAGCTCTGCTCTGCCTGTGATGTCGAGAACACTGGGTAAGTTTCATTGAGAAATTTTCACTTAAAGATCCATGTTTTTAAAAACTGTCTTTACTGAACTTATTTAACTTTTACTTTCTAAACTTTTTCATAAAGATTATCTTTGAAATATAGTGTTTCTTCCTACATCATTTTACACCTTTGCTTCTGTACTTTATGTATAGGGGCATACCAAGACAAATACTTTTACCAAATAAAGACCGTTTATTTTTTACACACTTAAAAGCATTCTTTCTCCAAACAATGGGCTGGTTTTTTGTTGTGTTTTGTTTTTACTGACACATTCATAAGTTAGGCTTTTGAGTCCTCTAGTGAGGAAACTACATTAAACTAATTTTTCTATATAAAAGTTTTTAAGCATTTATAATTTAGTATGGTTTAAAAAATTGAACATTTGTAAATTATTTTAAGCTGCTTTGTGTCCACGAAATAGAGGTGAAAGTAGTGTAATCTCTGAGAACACACTCTGATTCAAAGGACACCCTTGAGAGTTCCTACTTGTCTGTCATTCATTCCTGTCATTTTCTTAATGTTTCAGTTTATGGAGAATTTGATAATCTTTTGAAAGAAAAACAGATTTTCACTTTGTCATTGAAATAGTTGAGTAAGTCTTCCTTTAGTCGCCTTTTATAAAATGCTATCGTAGACCATATTCTCAGTTCTTCACTAAATATTATTTCAGACAAAAATTTTCATTAAGCATTTCTATCTAATTCTCTAGACTTAGGTTTTGACTTAAGAGTGCACACAAATGATCGGAAAATTTCGGTCATTAAATTTTAGCTACTTGCTCATAACAAAAATTACTGGTAACTTTGAGTTGCTTTTGCATTAGCTCTCATATTGCCTCCATTATTTATTGAAGACTTACAGATATCAGGGATGCAGGCTGTGCAAAGAAAGTAGAAGCTTGTAGTTATCTTCATAATTCTTACAAAGGATTTCATGTTTGTAATAGAAAACAAAATTAAAGTGTAAATGTAAAGGGACCACTGTTCCATAAGCTAATAAAAAACTGGTGTGTGTAATAGTCTTATTTCTTTTGTGTTTGCTTTATAGGACTTGTTATTGTTTTGACATCTGCTTATGTGAATCTTGAAAATGCTGAAAGTATGCTCTTTAGCAACCTGATTTGATGTTAAATGTTATCATTTATATTATGAGTCTATTAAATAATTTCTGTTCTATTTCAGCCAGCCTATCATTTTAATACTTATGAAACTCATTCACTGTACTGTTATTTAAGATTGATTGCTAATCATTAATATATACTGATTTTATGGAAGAAAATTACATGCTGAGTATAGTTTTGATACAAAGAAAACAAACTAATGGTAAAATTTACTTTTTGAAGGCCAACAAATTAAATTCCAGAGTAGTTTGCCATAGAGATAAATAAAAAGAAAAAAAAGAAAGATGGAACAATTAAAATGCAGCTAACAAATGCCTGGACCCAGCTGTCCAAACAGGATTAATGGAGTGCATTAGGGTACAGTGAGTCATGTGGTGCTTTGCAAAATATCAACACGCACTGCATTACATGTTATGCCCAGTGGCACTGAATAGATGAAAAGAAATAAATACGTTAAACAGATTCATAGAGGCTTTTCACAGTATTAAAAAAGCAAATTTCTAGACTAAAAGAAAAAGCTTTATTTTAGCATTATGGGAAATGCAAACTAGAGAGTTACTTTGTAATTCCTCTATTAACCCTTTAGAATTGAGTCTTTGATTTTAAGAAGATAAAATATAGAGAATTGTCATGAATATTATCCTAGTGTATAACAGGATTTTGATTTACCAGCTGAAAAGCTTATAAGACTAGAATAGAGGATGTATTTAAGCAATCAGATTCCAAGCTGTGACATTTTTCAGTCTTTCTTGTCGCCTCTCTCAAGGAAACCCTGACTTTAGTGTGGTCTCCTTTGCTCCTGTGAAATCAGCCAGCAGCGCCCCATCACTTACAATGAAATGAGAAATGCAATAACAAGAAAAATCATATTTTACCTCTATATATGTAATTTCTCTATTATTTCAACAGTTTTTTTTAGTGAAGAGTATAAATTTGATTGCAAATTGAAATACATTGAGGCTAGTATAAAAGAAATAATTTGGTGATGTTTTTGCTTCAAAAATGAAAGTGTTCAGTGGACATGTTTCCTTTTTAAAAATTTGCCCACTGTTACTGTTGCTGCATTACAGGCTTTAGGTTTAAGTACATGGTGTGATATGACATATTTATTATTATTAAATAATTCCTTTTAAATAGCTTGTATATTTGAATGAAAAATTTGGTACTAACTGGAAAATCACTACTGAGTAAATTTTATAAGCATATTACTTGCCACAAAGAATTAAGTTGTGAGAAAAATTTTGACCATGTATTCTTAGTTAAATTGAATTAGTATAAATGATGGTTTTATTTTTCATAGGAAACACAAAGAATCCGTACTTAAAATTTTTTATTAGAACCCTGCAAAAGTAATGCCATGTAAATGAATATATTTTTCAAAACATTGTTTGGCTGCCTGTTTATACTTAAGTTTTCAGAATCCAAAATTTGGGGAGATTTGATGTCTGTATTTTTAGTAAACAATTTACTATGTCGTTTAATAGACTCTGAGGGTGATTAAAGGAGGTGTTTGCAAACAAGGTGAAAATAGAACAAGATCAAACTAATTATCTATAGATGTCCAAACTTCTGTGCAGTAAAATATTTTAAATGTTGCAATGAATTTTATAAGAATAGATTCTGTGTGATTGCTGATATGTTCTTTATTATGCTTAATCATGAAACAATTGAGAGGTTGACTTTTTTGTGTTGTTCTTTATTTGAATTCTCCTTTAAAGAGGAAAATTTTTTGCAAATGCAAATGATAGTTTTTGAATGCTTTTAATAATTTCTATATTGTAATTCTTTTTGCAGTTATTTTTCATCTTGGAAGCTCTTTCTATAACTTGTAAGTTATGTAGGGTCCAAATACAATTTGTTTTTAATGTACTTATGGTAGTAAAACAAAAACACTTACTCTTTCAAATCTGCTTGAATTTCTTTTCAGTATTTTCACATATTTCTCATCTGGGTTCCATATAGTCTATTATCTTACAGGAGGTAAAGTAGATTATTTTTTGCTTCTTGATGAAGGGACCGTGTTTTATAACTGGTCTTTTTTGGGGAGGTCTTTATTTGGAGTTTTGGTAATCCCTGTTTATCTTTACCCTGAGCTTTCTCTAGCTCTTGTTGTGAAACAGAAATAAACAATGCTTTCACAGAGGCTTAGCAATGACGAATGTGAAATGGAAGTATGAATCATATATTCCTAATTATGACATTGATATAAAAATAATTTCAATCTCTATATTGAAAATTTCTCACCAAAAAGAATATATGATTTTATTATATTCAGATACATTATAGAAAATAATAAATGAATAACATGAATTAACTTTTGGTTGATTACTAATGTTCTTCTATCTGAGCAATAAGCTTATATATGCAGTTGAGATTTTTAAGAATAAAGAATTCCTAAAAATATTTTGTGCCAAATGTCTAAAACAGTAAGAGAGCAGCTTATGATCCCACCCTAAAAACTCATATTCCTGGTATCTGTGAAATGTGTTTCTTGACAGTACGCTTCTTTCAGGGCACACAGCCCTGTCTGAAAAAATGTGTGTCGGTCACACATACCTAAATTTAGTCACCTGTTGATATTCAGCTACTTTAAATTTACTTTGTTATAATTTTCATGGGGAAAGTAATTTCCTTTATTACTGTTTAACTGGAGGGAGCCTTAAGAGGCAATTTGAAAAATGTTACATTAAAATGTTACAATTAAAACTAGACAAATGATGGAAAGGGTCTAATTTGTCCTAAGAATAACGACCTCCAAGCTATCTGAGTATTCTTTTTTTTTTCTATTCTGAAACAAAGCCTCATTCTGTTACCCAGGCTGGAGTGCAGTGGCGCAATCATAGCTCACTGCAGCCTCACCTTCCTGAGCTCAAGCAGCCCTCCCACCTCAGCCTCCCGAGTAGCTGGGACTACAGGCACGCGCCACTATACCTGGCTAATTTTTTGTATTTTTTATAGAGATGGGGTTTTGCCATGTTGCCCAGGCTTGCCTCAAATTCCTAGGCTCAAGTGATACACCTGCCTTGGCCTCCTAAAGTGCTGAGATTACAGGTGGGAGCCAAATGCCTGGCCTTGCTGAGTATTTTCTTTTTTCTTTAATCCTTTTTTTTTTTTTTTGAGATGGAGTCTTGCTCTGTTGCCCAGGTCGAAGTGCAGTGGTATGATCTCGGCTCACTGTAACCTCTGCCTCCTGGGTTAAAGCTGTTCTCCTGCCTCAGCCTCCCAAGTAGTTGGGATTACAGGCGCCTGCCACCATGCCTGGCTAATTTTTGTATTTTTAGTAGAGACGGGGTTATGCCATATTGCCCAGGCTGGTCTCGAACTCCAGACCTCAAGTGATCCACCCGCCTTGGCCTCCGAAAGTGCTGGGATTACAGGTGTGAGCCACCGTGCCTAGCCAGGCTGAGTATTCTTAATAATACATATGCACAGTCATTCTGAGATAGATGAACAGATTATCTCATTTGTAGGAAATTGTATTTTTAATTTTTAATAATTTAAGTGAATGCATAAATAAATAGTCCTGATAAAGAATACTAAAAATTAGAGATCTGTCCACCACTTCTAATTCCAATCTCCTCTTCCAAGTTTCCAGAAATGTCTTTGGATTACAGCTTTTCACACCTTTTCCTGTGCATATGTATACGTGTGTTTGCGTGTATATATGTGCACTTTGTAGAAAATTAAAAAATCTCACCTGAGTATTACTTTGTTGCTAATTCTTTTGTTGGCATTCTCCTTCTTTCTGATGACTCGTAACTTCATGTGCTGCCTAGAGGGAGTTAAAAGAAGAAAATGTTTTCAAATAATTTCCTTTATCAGATCTCAGTCACATCAGCATTAATTTCTAACCAAAAGAGAGTTA